TGGTGTGCACGGAACGGCGATCAACGAAGGGCGAAAAGAAACACAGCAGAATATAATTAAGTTCTCCGCAAAAGATCGCACAGTGAATAATATAGGTAGATTGCAGTGCCAATGATTGACTTTTAAATCCACGTTAAATCGGACGGGAATATGTGTCAGCTCGGCGGATGCGAATTGGTAATTGATGTGCTGTTGTAGTAAGATACTATACGTGGTGCTGCGTTTAGAGATGGTTGCACAACTCGGTTCATGACGTCATTCCAATTCTTAAGAGTCTTGAAACCAGGTATGCAATTTCATTGTACGCGTAAAAGATGCAATAATTACATAAGAACTATTTTTCGATTTTCAAAAAACCCTTCCCCTTTGTAAGACTTTGTAATATTTAAAAAAAAATCACCCCCGGTGCCCCTTTGTAAGATCTTAATCGAATAATTGAATGACCTGTAGATATAAGACTTGTTCGTGCTTAGGAACACAAATGAGAAATATACAGGTGAGGAAATGATTGTAAAATGGTATTCGTGTAGTGCAAAATATGTTATAGATTTCGTGAAGTATACCTTCCGTGACGTCAAACTCCGCTTTTTTCATGTCAATTTTTTAGGAGTTTTTCATCATCACCGATTGTTTACCTCTTTTTTGCTACTAATACCAACAAATACCCTCTTGTGCCACACCTGTATATACCTCATTGTACGAACACGGCCGTTCAATCTCACACAGAGAGAGTACCCATAAAAAATCAATAAAAATACAATGATTTTCATTGTAATTGTAACCATGATATTTACTGTCAAAACATTGGACATTTTTGTTGATTGCCATAAAATCACAACAATGAAAATCGTGGTATTTGAGAAATTTACAGTAAAAATGGGGGATGTTAAGCATCTTAACAATAAAAAAAACTGATTTTTCACGAACAAATGTGATCTCAACACACTAATTTTCATGGTTTAAGTATTTATCGTTAAAAATATAAATTAACTTTTTCTCCCGTACAACAATCTACCCGGATAAAAATAACCTTAAAATTACAATAAAATATCAATAAAATACAATAGATTCTGTTGTTGACAGTTAATCTTATTGTTATCCATATTCTATGAAATACAAATTTTGCACGATAAAAAAAATAAAATTTATAGTAATGAGATCAAATTTTTTCGAGAATTTTTTTATTTTTTTATGATAACGGTAACTAACAACCCCCCTTTTCTATTGTAAATATCTCATTAACAATATATTATATTGTACATAACAATAAGTTCTATTGTATTTTTATTGTTTTTGACAATAACATTTATTGTTGCTACAGTAGGTTTTATTGCATTGTAACAATAGGTTTTATTGTTTTTGCATGGTAAATTTTTATTCGGGTATCTATCTATCTATCTATACATATAAAAATGAATTTCTGTCTGTCTGTCTGTCTGTCTGTCTGTCTGACCCTTATATACTCGGAAACTACTGAACCTATTGAAGTGAACATTTGTATGCAAGGGTTTTTGGGGCAGGGAAAGGTTCTTATGATGGTTCGAGACCCCTCCCCCACTGTACAGGGGAACACCCATACAAATCAAATAGAAATTTCTGCATAACTCGAGAATTAATCATGAAAATGGAACCAAATTTGGCATGTGGAGGTCATAGGGGGTAGCCCCTTAGATAAGAGGGAGGGGTACAGTATAGAATGCTTTTTTTTTAATTGGCGCATAAACTCAAGCTTAAATTGAATCCAGAGCAAGGCCGGGCACACTCAGCTAGTTTAACAATAAATTTTAATATACTCGAAAGTCAACAGTAAAAATCATTGAAATTTCATTGTTTTATTATATTTTTTTTTCGGGGAGTAACCTAAGTTTTCAGATTTGTTTTCTTCGATCTGAGTAGAAGTTACTCTCTCACTCCATCCCATGTAAGAAAACGGAAGAAAATTTCAAAGACCCCCCACCCCCAAATGTTCTTACGTAATTATTGAATAGCCCCTAACATCATGTTCTGATTTTTTTTTGTTTTAAAATACATTTTACAGCGTAGCGGGACACCATGAGGCACCGACTGTCATTACCATGTTCAGCACGGTATCGGAAATAAGCTTTATGACAAAGTGATTAAACAGGTTCAACATTATGCTTACTAAAAATACTTTCTGATGTGATATTCATTTAAGGATATAACTTCTAAATATATAGTAAATATACCGCAATAAATTTCGTAACGGGACACCATTGCAGACATACACTTTTTCACAATAGTATGAGTGCATAAATTAGCTCTGGTAAATAATTTGAACCAGCGGCGCCGGTGGTGTAGTGGTAAGCGTGATTACCGCTCACCCCAGCAGGCCTGGGTTCAATCCCAGTCGGCGCCGCCGGGATGTTCTGAGGCATAACATCTCTGATCACGCCTTCCTTCGGGAAGTAAAGCCGTTGGTCTCCGGTTAATGAGTTGATGAGTCGGTAGGTTGGGTCCAGGTGTGGGAGCTGCCTCCCTGGCGACTTTTCCTAGATTTCCCATACATTCAAGCAGGTGTTAGGGAAAGAGGATGGCAAGGTTCAATTTACTTTAATGCGATGTTCGAAAATTCAAACCCAGTTTTTTCGAAGCATCTATTCAGATAGTAAATAGCTCTTGTCATTATATTCCTTTTGCTATTTTACACAAAATGATGCGAGTTTTTTGCAATCTAAAATGATGCGTCGTTAAAAACTGGGTTTAAATTTTTCGAAAATGCATCAAAGAAAATTGCATCGAGGTTTTTCTCCATCTAAATCTTAATGACGATATTCAGTCAGATGATCAAGGAAGAAATAAATAAATAAAATCGGGGAAAGTTTTAGTCACTCGCCGAGTTCTCTAGTTTCTAGGATTTTTAGTGAAGTCCTACTCCATTTTGAGTTACTCTCATCGGCCGTGACGCTAACGATGTGACAACTGCCACATCCGCAGTCGAACTGAACGAAACAAAACGTAGTAAAAGCAGTAAAATTACTTTTTATTTCGCATTGATTATGATTTTACATTATTCCTGCATTTCAATTGATGTACCCCAGGGTTCTTCATCTCTGTTTCATATGTTATTCTAATTTACGTATTCACGTTTTTCAACTAGTTTACCCTTTGAGGGTGCGTTTTGATTGAATTAAAAAAGAAAAATTGATAACCTACCTAACCTGATCTCAGACAAGCGTCTCTGAACCTTTTGAGGACGAGCGTACTCCGCTCCTTGAGTGTCTGGAGACCAACAAGGCGATGAATTTCACAGAACACACCGAATTTCGAGTCCGCGGTGGACTGTTCAGGATCGTCTTAAGGACCTTGTTCTGGATTCTTTGGAGTTTGAGGTGATGGCACTTGGTACAGCTCTACCAGATTGGCATTCCTTATTCAATGGCGGGAAGAGTGATTTGCTTGTGGACAGTAAGCTAGTTTTTAATGGAAAGGGTGGACGTTTCGTTGCTAAGCGGATAGAGCGATGTAATCAAGATATTACACTTGGTGAATGTTTTGTTCACATAGGAACGGGACAACAACTTGCTATCAATTGTGAAACCAAGGTAGAAGTCTTCACTCGACCATTCAATGGGAGTATTATCAAGGCGGACCTTAAAGTTACCAGGCGGGACAAGTCGAGGTGAATTGGAATGGGGAAATAGTATGGTGGGGAAATAGTTTTAGCTGCGTTGAAACAAAACGTGCAGGAACGCTCTTTTATAACCTCACTATCGGCTAGTTTCTCTGTTATCTCGGTAATTATAACAAGAAAGCACGTGATTTGTTGATTATGACCAATAAGTTTGATCAATTTTCAATAGTTTGCTAATGATAAACTGCTATAATCGCTATGCCAAACGAATTATATATTAAATATGAGTGGTGTGATAAAAATTAAAATCCATCCATAAATTGCCATGTTATAAGCGCTTAAAACTAGACACTATTGAACACTCCCACGCCAAGTGACAAATCGGAAAAACTCGACCTTTTCTGATTACATTAAAACTTTGCATAATTATGTGTTATGGGAAATCATTCACATTTTTACACAAATTCGGCCATTTTGGATGTTGTAATTTTGTTCAAAATAGCGTCTTTGTCATTTATCAATAAATTGTAGTACGAAAACATCACGAGACATCTCATGACGTCTGAGACAAAGTTGTAGAGAAAAATACAGTTTTTTGGGAAAAATATCCAAGGTATCTTTTTAATTAATTTGAGTGTAAAATAAAAAAAAAAGTGGTACAACTCAAAATTACTAAAAAAGTTTGTCTTAAAATTATATACTATTTTTAAAAAAGCTTATAAAAAATGAAGATCTTTGGAATATTTAAAACCATTAGTCTTTGGTGCATGGGACAATAACATATACATTATTTGTCACAACTCAGGTAATCATGATAGCAGAAGGTATATTTTCTTCTTTCATTTTGTTTTAATTACATGTCATGATTGCCTGGGATTTGCCATAAAACGTAAACATTTACACTGCCAGCATCGAAGAATAATAATTAGTGAATTAGTAGATTTGTCATAAATGTCACAACGAAGATATTGAAGATTTTCATTTTAGTACTAAATATTATTATTATTACTATTATTATTATTATTATTATTATTATTATTATTACATCATTTAAGATATACCTCAATAGAAATAAACACGAAAACCATACATACATAGGGCGAACTATAATCGCTGATTTGATGAATTTATAGATTGTTACAATTAAGGCACATTTGAGAGGCAGGCCCTGTAATGCCACGAATACACTTGTATGTAAAACGTGAGCAATATTTGATTAATAAATTATGAGCACATCCTAAAACTATAGAAGTGTAATCATGGATGGGCTCATAATTTATCATACAAATAGAATTATAATTTGGATGATAAAAGCAGCAAATATATCTAAAACATGTCACATTCAGCTCTAAATTAAACAATTCTGAAAAACTAGGAATGACTCCTCCATTTTCATTAAACAACTTACCTTAATATCCATAATCGAATCTGTTTCCGTAAAATCGGGTAAATCCTTTTAAAGTGGCGATAGCGGTGGAAAATAATCCATAAAAGAAAAACTTTTGTCACTCCAACAATGCACCAGGAAAACAGCAGTGAAAACGGAATGATTTTATTTTTTTTTCACTGCAATCTTTGTTCTCTTATCTAGCTTCTTTCCAGTCGGCTCACACTTCTGGAGCTTGATTCGCCTTCTTCTTTCTGATCTTCGTACTCAATGTACTGCTCTTCTCTGCTTTCGATTTTCATTTCACTTCATCACACATAGGAAATATTTCATGGGTACCTTTTTTCTGTATTCCTATTTACCCGGCACAGCCGTTTTATTTTATTTTAATTAATTATACCATCATCGCCGAACAGATCGGAAGAAAAACACACACAGGTAGGTATAGCTATCAACCCGAGTGGTATGGACACAAGCACTAACACCCACGCAAGAGCACTTCGAACCACTGTCAAAAGTGCACACCCACCTCTCGAAAAATCTAAACTTATATCAGTTGCTTAGATCCACCATAAATGCAACCAGCGACCGATTCACAATATGCGACATGTGCGTGCACTTTTTTCCTTCTGTTATTCCGCTTCTTCGCACTTAAATTAATTGCAATTAAAATACAGCATGAACCCGTATGTGTCGTGCATTCACTCTCTCTACACACACCAGTTTAGGACCATTTCCATATCGCCAGGCCGTCCATATGCGAGCACAACAATAATAATACTCAACTATACGTCAAGTCGAAAATCGGTTTTTCGCTCTATCTCAGGGGCTCATTCATTTCTTTCTTGTGCCACCCCGTACGTCTCACTTCAACCACAAACACGCACACCCGGTCCGGCAATGATGAGGCTCCACGAGCTAAACAATCTTCTTCGTTTTATTCCTTTTCCCCAAAAACCACCTTCCCCACTCTTACTTCACTCACTGCCACTACTCGTTGGAGCTGGTGGATCAGCCAAGTTTTCACCTCCCCCTTGGTGAGCGATGTTTTTCTCGCCGCCTGCTCTCCACCCTCCGTCCTCTCACCAGCAGCAAAGGAAAGAAGAAAAGACAGAGAGGGAACCAATGCAAGCAGATTTTTTTGTGAGTGTTATTTTCACCCTTCCGCGCGTTCTTATGCATAAAACTGAATAAAAAAAATACGATTTACGCGATACCGAGACGAAACGCCCTTACTGCACGACGGTCTCTCATAGACTGACTGAACAACAGAGAAATGAGAGAACTACCGAGTCAGTCAGTGCTGGCTGCTACGAACATACATACTCACTAGACTGGAGCTTTGAGAGAGCTTGCTTGTATCATTGATGGCATAGGGCAGAGACGTGGGGGAAAGCTCGTTGGATTGTCGCGCATACAAGCACAATCGCTTTGTAGCATAATCGAAGCACTGTTGAATGGAGTGTAGGCAGCTCTGGTAGGTAGCACCAAACAGCGGGTACGTTCTATGTATTCGATCATATACAAATTCTGCTAGTACTGCACGCTACAGTAATGACCCGATTTTGGCAGCCTTTCTGCACATCAGCCTTTATCTTCAACAATTTCACATATCGTTATGGCGGGCATCTTTAGACACTTTTCTGGTGTTAGCGAACTTGAACATGTTCGTGTGAAATCAATACACGGCGAATGAGAACGACTCAAATTTGAGTTTAGTTCACTCATAATCGCCAAAAATGCAGGAACTCAGCGATGAGTTAATTTGCCTCATGTTTTCCGAGGTTTTTCCAGGGAAAAATTCGCGAATTTGAGAAAAGTAAAGATTGGATTCACTCAGTCTATTGGTACTACTCCGAGACTGAATAAAATTTTCGTCAATTTTCTCATTTTCCGGCAGATTTTTTAGGTTTCCCACAGGAAACAATGGGACAAATTTTACTCATCGCTGAGTTCCTGCACTTTTGGCGATTATGAGTGAACTAAACTCAAATTTTGGTTGTTCTCATTCGCCGTGTAAAGTAGTTAATAATAGGGCGTGGAGTACGTTGGGAATTTTCAACTGTTTTGATCATAGAATTGATAAAATTGACATCATAAGCTCCATCCAAATTTAAACAACCTGTTCAGTGAGAGCGCTGGTGGTGTACTGGTAAGCGTGATTATCTCTCACCCCCAGCAGTCTTGGGTTCAATCCTTGCTCCTTCGAAAATGTTGTCTGTACTTCTAAGCCCTGATTACCGTTCGTTTCGAATTTTCGTTCATGATAAAGTTCTTCTGGAGGTAAAAATCTTCCGGATGCTCAGTTCATATAATTACGGAATTTTCTTATAACTCAGTGGTAGCATAGAGGTAACTCTAAGACCAGAAGGTCCCGAAATAACGTGCACAAGTTTTTGGCTCAGCTCTGGTACTCTCTTCGGTCCCAAGCTAATGATTCACCCCTCGAAACATAGGAAAAACCAATAACCCCTCATTTTATCTGTCAAACTTTCATAGCGAATCAAAACAAACATTGCGTAGTACTAGAATTTCGAATAGAATAGGGTACGTTAATTGTTTGCTTGGGACCAATAGGCTAGTCAAGTGGTGAGCCAATTTAAAATCGTTAGTTTCGTATTGATTGTTGGTGGTAGTGCGTACACTTAGTTAATAAGTTTTCAGATTTCACCTATTAGACTTCTATGAAACTTCAAATACAACTGTAATTGTTTAGTAAGGACAAATGAAGCAGGTTTGTGCCTACATTCGTCCATTTTAACTTGCATGGTGCAATCTGTTCCAGATTATTTGGAGCGGTCACATCAGATTTTACGGAGCTCAGTCTACGCATCCTTAAAAAAAACTTAACGACGTATGATTTTTGGGCAACATTAAAATCAACTGTTGAAACCGAAAAAACGCCAGACTTGAGAAAATTGTATGCAACAAGATTTTAAATAACGTTTGTTTACGAGAATCACCAAAGTAGACTCCTGTGCATTAAATAATTCCACAGATTTTTTTTTGGTTTGGCTCAATAAGTTTTAATATTTTCCAAAATGCTTCATTTTACTATAGAGTATATCGACAAATAGCAATAGAACTTTGATAACTATTATTTTTTTTTTCTAGTAGGGTTAACTATCCCATTTCCGGCCTATTAAGCACAACCCGCATTTTGTCTTTCTTAATCTAGCGCAGTTTAGCACCAAACGAAGTGTTATTATTACTGATGGCTTCCAAATTTATTAACCTTACCGTACGTACTGTAAGATTTGATAAAGAGAAACCAATCGTTGAGATGTTGTCAAAAGTCTAACACTGCTTCATGACGCCAAACTCGGCCTACGGATTCTAAACTAGGCCTAACGCATTAAAACGCCAATGAAACGAAAATGAATTCACTTCGGCCTATCGAATGAAGATAAAAATTGATTCGGTCGGAGCGCTTCTTTTGTTTTTGGGAATAATGGGTGCAAACCTTCATATCACGTGTTCTCATTGACTTCGTTCGGTAGCTTATTAACTAAAGTATCGTACCAAACGCACAATTGACTTGTTAACTCTGAAATCATGGATTTATTTGAAGTTTTCTGCTCGATAGGCCCAAAATGGGCGATTAGCCGAAGTAGTTCTCTACCCTATGAGTGAATGAAATTTTGAGGGATTATTTTCGAAAAATACAATAATTATTCTTATTACAGGAATTGTATAAATTGAATGTTTAACAAAACGTGATACCAGCGACTTAGTTGTAGAATGCATGTAGCACTAGAGGTTTACTAACGTGGTAGTGGCCTCAATAGTACACTCTTAGAAATAATTTTTACACGAGACGTAATCTATATTGGACGTAAATCATGGAATGTAAACAAACCGAAATATAAGCAAGCCGACGAAGAGAACGTTTGATTGAAATGATTTTCTTGTTGCTTTCAACTGATTCTTATGTAAAAAGGGCCGCTTACATGTGTCGGTCTCAGGGAACCTAAATTTCTTTTTGATGAAAACGAGAAAAGTTTGGTATGGTTCGCCTGGGAATTGATGTGTATGATGGAAAAAAATAAAATAGCAGTATTTTGATTTTGTCGAGGCTGAAAAGTCATTCACAACAGACAGAAAATGAGAAAAGCATCTATCCGCTATTAAAGGGATCATCTAATCCTTCGACGATGTACCCCTCTAACCTCGGGTAAGCCGCGAGTATTCGGCCCAACTCCTACTAGGCATAGAATTAAGCTACAAACAAAGAACAATGAATTATCGGCTCCGTAAAGCTAACACGATTGAACCTTCCAAATAAACGAACTAGATAAAAAAGGGACCTCCTTCGAATGGGTGATATCAGTTTGCTTAGTCATTTGACGAAGGCATGCCATGCATGAATCATTCTCATTTGAGAAACGCTTGATATCATTCAATTGAGTTTAACCTGCACACGGAGCTCTGGTTGACATTCCGTCAACAAAGCTAAACCAACCCGACACAAACCTGACTTCTACCAATCCTCGACCCGATGTTGAGCCGACATTGACCCGACATCAACCCAAATTGTCCTACAGTCGACCCGACATTGGGTCGGACTTTAGGACAAATTAACTCAATGTAAGGATGAGGTTCGATTGAGAAAGAGGCTCTTCAAATGATGGGGATGAGAGAATTTGTTTTTGCAGAATTTATTGAATGGCTCCAGTGTTGGCAAAATCATCAATCAAATTATATTTTTCCGCTCTCATACGCTCCCAATATCACGCGTGATATTGGAACAAAATATCATGCTTGATATTGCTTTTACAAGCTCCTTTGATATTGCGAGACTATTCACAACGTGCAAAAATTAAACGGAGAGTTGACTAGACACAAAAATGATTCCGTTGTACATCGTTTTCTTAGAAAGAGAAAATATAGCCTGCTATCTCTTTTTACTGTTCACCGATGGCAGTCACGAAGTGACTGCTGCCAGCCGTTATGGAAGTTTCGGTTGCGTTCGGATGTAAAGCTGGGTTTAGACAGGGCAAGTCAATTGATCAAGTCAGTTGAATTCAACTGACTTGAACGCGAATTGAAAGTGTTAACCATGCCATTCAACTGATTTGATCAACTCACTTGAATTGAAAAAATTGAACCAGGCTCAACTTTTCAAGCCAATTGAATTCAACTGAGTTTTGTTAGCTTGATATTCTGAGCTGCGATATCACAGCTTGCAAAATCAACCGCAGCTGTATGTTTGTTGATATTTGTCAACGAAAATCAAGCGTGATTATGGGCATTGGTGAGTTTTGATTTTTTGATATTTTCCCAACACTGATTGGCTCAGCTTCAATGGAATGATATGAACATTAACAGCACTGCTGGGAATCCCAGTAACATGTTGTGGATGAATATTCAACAGGATTGAAAGTGTCCAAAGTAACCCGTCCAGTCCAAAGAAGTCCGCCACGACGGTAACCGTAATTCTAAATTTTTCTCATTCATCTTCAATATGCATGTTTGAGGTGTACTTTTTTTTTATATAAACCATGCATTTCGTAGTTGCTCTTCCGTGATTGATCAGAACTTGTGCACTTGCACAGAGAACCACATAGATGGTTCATGGGATTAGCTTTCCATCCTCAATGAACAAGCACACTAAAGCTGGGTTTCGACAAGGCACGTCTAGTTAAATTCAACTGGCTTGAAGGCAAATTGAACGTGTAAAACAGCCTGGTTCAACTCAGTCAGTTCAATTTGCGTTCCAGTCAGTTGAATTCAACTGAGTTGACTTGACTTGTCTAAGCCCAGCTTAACCTTAAGCTTAGTCCTACGTCGAAATTCGCATTAAGTTTATGGCATTCAACTAATTTCGTTGTGTGTACAGAGCTTTAAACATAAACACGTCATTGGAGCTTGTACTATAAAAGCTTTATGTCAGGTATAAATGACCAGTGAGTGCGGTGAGCTTACTAAAAGCTGTGGCATGTTGAACATCGAATTCTATTTCAAAGCACGAGCTGTTTCATTCAATGTTGAGTTGGAGAAATCACCCAGCAAGCAGATTCATACGAGTTTTCAAGCATAAGTTCATCTTTTTCTTGGCTAGATTACGCTCTAACTGAAACTATATGCGTGCCCTAAACTTACTTGTTGCTGAGCATTTCCACTGTTGATAATTAAGAACTTTATAACCACACATATGCACGGCGAATGAGAACAACCCAAATTTGAGTTTAGTTCACTCATAATCGCCAAAATGGCAGGAACTCAGCGATGAGTAAAATTTGTCCCATGGTTTCCTGTGGGAAACCTAAAAAATCTGCCGGAAAATGAGGAAATTGACGAAAATTTTATTCAGTCTCGGAGTAGTACCAATAGACTGAGTGAATCCAATCTTTACTTTTCTCAAATTCGCGAATTTTTCCCTGGAAAAACCTCGGAAAACATGAGGCAAATTAACTCATCGCTGAGTTCCTGCATTTTTGGCGATTATGAGAGAACTAAACTCAAATTTGAGTCGTTCTCATTCGCCGTGTGCAGGCTTGCTTCCACTCACTTGCTATAAAAAATTGTTTTTCGGAATTATGAAATCATTAGATATTATAATGATAGTTAGTAGTTGTAAGTCACCTGATAAGGTTGTAAACTAGGGGTTTGACACATGAAACCTGTCATTATTGCTTTCAGTGCGTCACAATCAACGATTTTACGATTCGTGAGCGCTCACTCTGAGTGAACGCTCACGAGTCATAAATTCGCTGATTGTGACGCTTTGAAAGCGAAATTGACAGGTTTGATGTGTCAAATACATACCTTCCAACCTTTTCTTGTTTCTTACAAGTACAAACTTTCATAATAGCATCCAATGATTACATAATTCCGGAAAACATTTTTTATAGCGAAGTGAGTGGAAGTAACCCTGGCCGTGTGTATTGTTATTTACATTGAAAAACAACTAGACTAAATGAAACAATTAAAATGTTATTTTTTTAGCAATCCTCTCCATTATATTGAGGTCAAGAAATAATACTTGTGAAATTATGGATATCTACACGCTAAGACAGGAATATGCAAAAGTCGGTAAACATTGCTATTAATCGCACAGAAGGGCACATATCTACATTATCGGTAAACTTCGATTACCTTAAATTAGATACTGGTGGGGGAGAAGCGTAAATTTTTAAAAATTGCCTACTTTTAGTGTTTACTTTTTACCGAAAAGTATTATTTTTTTAAACATTCGTTTTAAAAATCTTTAAAAGTCTCTTAAAGATGACTTTCATGAGAAATCTGAAATAAAAATGTGTATAGCCACCAAAAGAAGGGAATTTGTTTGCACATAAACCAAACGTCTTAACAAACTTATTACAAAAAAAATCTCAAGGACTACTATTCCGGGTAAATTCTCATGCTGGACCTCTGTGCCATTGATCCTTATAATTTGCCTTGACATGTTTTGATTTAAAATTCCAAATCGCAGACGGTCCACTTGACGAAAACCAACATCAACTTGTCCGGTTTGTAGTAGAACTTGGATGGGAGTGGAGGGAAGACACTTGAGATAAAATATATTCGGATGTAGTCGATTTTATATGTGCAATGGCAAGCCTTTTCGTGGCCAATAGCCAGGTTCAGTGCTGAGACTCATCGATGGGACGTTGAGGGTCGCATGGAGGATCGACTTCACTTCAAAACAGCTTATCAGTTGCTTGATGGATTGAGGTGCAGCTCTCGTAGGACTTCTTCTGTGTTAGTGAACTCGTTGAGGAACTGAAAACCATATCCTGGGCCTGGGTTAGACCAGATCAGGAACCGATTGTAAAGAATTATAAAAACTTAACGGCAAAACGAAAGTCTCGTTTGTTCACAAGCGCAGACTACCCTCACTCGTTATGAAAAGGGATTTCTCCTCAGGTATCCGCATCAGGCGCTTTCACGAAATTTGCAATTTCACCCATGGTGGGTTTTGCACTTCCATTTCCGAAGCTAAACATGACGGTATTCTTAATTTCACTCATTATCTAACTGTTTGCTTCCAACGACAACGATAAAAGCGATCGAGTTGCAGTACGTCGAACAATAACTTGATCGAGGAAACAAACTCTCGATAGCGATCGACATCGAGAGATATAACAACAGCTGAAAGTTAACTGTTATCGTAGTTGTCACGTTGTGTAGGGGAGGACAGTCCATAATGCACCCATGGGGTAAAATGGCCCCTAAACTGGGATTTTATGTGCCAGATTGCTAGTTCAAGTACTGAACTAGAAATGCTGTCGCTGCAAAATCATGAATTGACAATCGGAAAGCAATGAAAAACACCCTACCACCCTACCCTACCTCGTTAATAGTGTCAAAACTCGGATTGCTGTACCGATGAACAAAACAAGATAAAAAAGGGTTAGTTCTAATCTTTTATTCGTTGATCTCTAATTTGAAGTGGTTACGACTTGGGATCTGATATATGGTAAATATCGGTGTCATTGTTTGATTTTTGTTACTATCCCAAACAGGAACCGATAGCTAATCGATAACAAATGAATATCTATATCAATATCTAAATCAATAACATGTGGTATGATACCAGATTTCGGTATGCTTCTTGTATGAAACCTTGTTTTGATATTATTCAGTTATCGAAATTTATTGTAAAATACAAATGAATACCAAAATAAAAAAATTTATCTTTCAGTTTTTAGACAATAACACCTAACAGAGTTATTGAATTGGTATTAGAAGACCTTCAAAATAACAAATTTTGGTATTCTGGCCTGTTATCCGTTTGTAATTGTAACAACTAAATTATTTATTAGTTCGTTATTCGAAGAACATTTTTGAGGTATTATTTTTGGTATTTTACTTTTTATGTCAGCCTCACTAATACCATATCAGGCGTAACATTTGGATACGGCACAAAAACATTTGTATACAAACTTTTTAAGGCCCTTTACACGCGAACCAAAGTACGCCCACGCAAACCAATACCACTTTCAAAAAGGTGAGAGTTGTCCCTATCCGATGATGTTGTTGTTTTGCGTGAGCGTACTTCGATTAGCGTGTAAAGTTTGTTACAACCTTAAAAAGTTTGTTTACAAAAGCTTTTGTGCCGTTATCAAATGTTATGCCTGATATTTAGGATGCCAGTTATGCTATTTTCATACCTAAATTTGGTATTCTTATGGTATTTGGTTATTTTCTCCTGCTAGGGATGGAATGACTGCGGTTTTGACTGACAAATGGGGCGCGTCTTTAGAGTGGCTTTCACTCTTCGAAGGATATAAATAGCGGAACCTTTCAATTAGAATCGGTTCCGTGAGATCTTGGCAAGAATGATGACTGTAACAAAACCGAATACTCTATCATTTTTCAATAGTAATTTAGTAACACGGCATGCACTAAACTAAGGACGCTGGATACACCAAAATAGATCAAATTACTGGTCGCAGAGGATGTCCCTATCAGAGGGAAAAAAAAACATCAGCACTCATCAGAAACCTTTATTACATTTGTTCAACATCAGCGTTTCTCAATCGTGACCCACTAGAGAGTCGCGGGCTGCTCCCAGGTGGGTTGCGGAAATAGAGAAAATTTAGTAGGGGAAATGGCTCTAATGTTGACCTATGGATCTAAGATTAGGCCCATCGCTAACAAACTGCTATTTATCAATTTTATCTAGATGAACGCGTAATTCGGGTGGTACTAATGGATATGTTTGATTGCTATTGAAAATTTAGTCCATCGCTGAATTTTTGTACCAGCCATCCATACAATAACCAGCCATAATATGTTTTAAAAATTTCATGGAAAATTTATCTGATTTCAAAATTATACTAGGATAATTCAAATTGAACTACCATAGCAATCTATTGTATTTTGCTAGTTAAAACGGACTGAAATCAAATCATTAAAAATATGCGAAACAAGGCCATTTTGGCATTGTAAAGCAAGTTTGAGTAGTCTAGGCCATTTAAACTTTCTTGAGCCAATGAGAATTTCCAAGCAAGTCGTTATCAAGATTATTAACAGAGTTGACCGTTTTTCATAACTTGGACGGAAAATGCTTTGCGAAAATGGTGTATGTGGCTATTTTGGTGTTTTGAACCCCATACCACTCTGTTTTTGGATTCCAGGCAAATATGCAGTTTATTTTTGCGTTTTACAGCCGTTTTTGAGGGTTAAGGCCTGTTTCGCCTTTCATATTGGTGGGTTGCAAACTTATAAAAAATTACAAAGCGGGTCGCAATCGACAAAAGATTGAGAACCGCTGCACAACATTAAAACCTCCTTCGACTATATCATTTTGTTTTGCATATACTGATATTTTTGGGTTATAAATCGAACTGATGGGTAGCCGATATGATTGATATTTTTTTCCTATACTCGTACATCTGAACTAGGTATTCAATAAAGCAAAGAATCAAATCTTAATCTTCTTCCATTATAATGACGTAGAAACGTGTTCACATTTAAATAAAACTCGTCGTAGGTTTTATACTAATATTATCGTGTGTTTATTCAAATACAAAATCAGCAATCAAAATTAAGCAAACAGCACCGAGAACTGCGACTGGTTTGCGTCGTATACAGAGGTATCGAAACCAAGCGTCCGGACGACATTATCGATCCATGATCTGAATCTCATCACATTGGAGTACACTGCGGGAACTTTTCCGTGACAACCAATGCCCCAGGCAACCATTCCCATCTGAGTGTATCGATTTTCATTGGCAGGACCAACCGGGCAGACCAATGGAGCACCACCGTCTCCTTCGCATGTGTCAACACCTTGTTCACCACCAGCACAAATGAAAGTCTGGTGCAATCTGAATCGAGTCGTTAGACGGGTTGCCTGCAGTTGCCTTTCGCAAGTTGACGAATCGACAATAGGAAGGGGTACCTTTTTCATAATTACGCTATACCGTCCGGATTTTCCGAACTGATTCTTTCCCCAGCCACTAGCGAAACAATCGGTTCGTCGTGTATCGTAGTTGTTGGGTGGCAGACACACGACATTGATGTGATCAGCGAGTGTAATAGGACTTTCTAGTTCCAAGACAGCTACGTCATAAGCCAACGATCGAGGATTAAAGTCCGGATGACTGTTAACTCGAATAACTATCCTTTCCTGGAACGGTAATCGTTCTTTCGTTGTCTGACTATCCCATTCGCCGGCTCGGATTTTCAGCTGTCCCTTGCGGTACCCCTGAACACAATGTGCGCCAGTTAGCACAAGATTTGGATGAATCAGTGAACCCCCACAATGACTAGAACCATCAGAAGTTTTAATGACTGCAACCGTCCACGGAAACTCGCCGAATCCAGCTTCGTTATTCTGAAAGATACAAGCATAGGAAGTGATTGAAAGTGAAAAGCTGCAGCAGGTAGTAAAAACTCACGAAATTGCCTGTAAGCGTAAAATCAATGCCACCAATGTTTCGCAAACCACATCCAGTAGGTTTAACAGAGGAGATCGCTCCAGGAGTGTTGTTCATTGGGACTACGAGGGAATCTTCGGCGCGACAGCAAACATCCAGCACATCTTGGCAGCTATCCGGATTGTAGCTGAAGAGAATAAACATGGAAGTGTTTAGGAAATGGAGATTCTAGATTTCACACAGATGTACAGAATCTGAAAGGAATCACGACATCGGGTAAATGACGGCTTCGGCAATACCGTTGCCTATTATCGGCAGGGGATGAATGAAGTCTCAAGGACTGACTTTTAGCATGAGTGTACATCATGTTTCAAGCCATCGTTTAGCCAAAAAATGAGAGCTAAAGGAAACCTCCCCGACGATAATAGGTAAAGGTATTGCCGAAGCCGTAATTTATCCTATACATATGCAAATTTTGTAATGGGTCGTCGGAAGGCTTTTTAAATAATTGTGTAAATTTGTCTTAGCCATTTTTTATTGTTTTTACATTTCCGTCCAAGCATGAAGCCTAGAAAGTTTTCCTATTAATATTTTGCGCGAAAAAAATATTCTGGAATGCTACTTTACAATACAGTCTGTTGTAAGAACTGCCTATACAAATCTCTTAAGAATCATTTATTAAGGGTGTAATGCTTCAATAATAATCCTTTGTATATTAGCGCCATTCGCATAACCGTGCCACGTCCAACGTAATTCTTATTCAAATTCGACTGTTTTGCTATAGCATGAGCATGAGCATGAGCATGATTGACCACCCACGGTTGCTACTCTGTTATTGCCAGACCAACTGTAATTACACAGAGAACCAATAGACGTTGCTTGGGACCAGCAATCATCCTCAATGTGTAAAAACTGGTGATCTCAAACTAGGCAATACCTAGATTCTGTGATGGTTCGTCGGAAGGCTTTTATAGGGTAAATTCTGTCTTAGCTATTTTTTAAATTGTTTAACATTTCTGCCAAAGCATGAATCATAGAAAGTTATCATATTAATATTTTGTGCGAAAAAAAATTCTGGAATGTTAGTTCACAATAGAGTCTGTTGTAAGAACTATCTATACATATCTCTTAAAAATCATTTATTAAGGGTGTAATGCTTCAAAAATAATCCTTTGTATGTCCATGTCCATGTGCCATGTCCAACAGAATTCTTATTCAAATTCGACTGTTTTGCGATAGCAAGCACTATATGGCATTTACTTTGCGAGCAGGATCACAGGGTTTGGCTGTGATAAATATAATAGATTCTGCAAAGACAAGAATGCTTTCGAATCAAATTATCATTTATGTATATCATTTATGCTGATGGTCTTAGACGTAAACTGTAATAAAAAGCACTTCTTCATCTTCATGGCATTGAATATTACTTTGTTATTTCAGGATATATGCATTTACATTGCATAATTATGTCAATGGCAGATGGATTTTAATTCTAAACAAGTGAATCGATTGGAAATGTGTCTACGAATCTGCTAAAATGAACACTTCATGAATTTTTAATAGGTCACTATTGAAAATTACACAAATGTCGAACTATTGCAATGGTGATCAAAATCATCACCAATTGCCTGCAAAAAGCGCTTTCCCTAACACAGATTTCAAAATCGAATCGTCGAACAGTGCTCATCCGCGTTGAACATACTAATAGCTCTAAGAGTTAATTTTCATTGAACGTTCGCTCGCCTTTCTGCCAGCCACATCACCACAAAGCTCTTTGATAATGTACCCAGCAACGAAACGTTTGTGGTCAAATGCGTAACAGCATTGAAGTGGTGCATAAAAATTCTCGCAATGACCGAATATTACATGACCTTGTTAATTAACTAGAAACACTTTGAATTAAGGTCACTTTTTAAGCAAGCATTCCTCCAATCAATTTTGGTTTTGTTAACCAAAAATTCTGTGCGTTTTGTGCACGAAAATGCGTATTTTTTTCATCAGGAAACGAGGAGTTTTTGTGATGGGAAGAAGTGATTTCCCTAACACAGTCACCGAATATTGATACCGAGCACGTTATCCTACGTCAAATCTACTTTTGCTTTTTTTCAGCATTTGAAATTTAACTAGTGAGCAAAGAATTTGTTGCATGAATGTTGGATTTAGATGTTTGTCTTCATTGTTTTTAACGCGTATAATGGAAATTGGTCCCATATACCAAAGTAGTGCTAAACTTTTGGTAACAAACTGCGATTTTCCGACTTTTCCTGGATTTTTTTGTTTCACTACCATTGGACCAATTCCGAGTTTTTTTTTACAAATTCTTCCAAAAGTTTCTTACAACTTTTCTTAAAAGTTTCTTCTGATTTAACCAGAAGCTTCTTCAGAAGTTTTTTTTTTTGTAATTTATTCCGACGTCTGCTACAAGTATAACTGTTCTGGATCATATTTCGGGAACTTTTTTTTTTATTGGGTATCAAGCTGGAGCCGCGTGACAGCTTAGTTTTCAAGACTTGACCCATTTGAATAAATTTAGCTTCTATCTTTGACAATACAGCAGAAGGACTAGCCTATGTTGGCCGCTTGAACACTGGATTCCGTATGTATTGTTGCAAGATAGTTATAGAAAAAATGCTGTGACGTGTGCGCGTAGATACATCAACGTAGTAAACAGATTGAATAAGTAAATCCGTTTCGAACGAAATATCTAAATTATGTAAGTTACGAAAACCGCGCGAATTCCGAAAGCCGTGCGAGACAACCGAAGCGAGAAAAAAGGCTTATTATCATTTAAAGAGTGCCACCAAAATAAATGTGAAAGCCTATGTTGGCAAGTTGATTAATTTTGGTATCCTCCCTAAATATTCTACTTATTTTACTGTTAAGCTTTGTTTCAATTTAGTTATTTTACCGCACGTATCAATCATTTCAAGATTTCGCGACCGTATCGAACAAATTCTATACTACAGAGGCTAAAAAAAACTTTTGGTGAGCTCTACCGCATTGCGAATCACTTCTGCGTAAGCTCCGTAGACTTAGGCGCGTTGATTCCGACAGCCGCGAAAAGTTAAACATGCATCAATACCACATAAGGAAAGATCGATTTTACGTAGGGTTTAGTTCATAGATTAACATTGACTGCTGTTAACAAATGTACGTACTTGAACACTAAGAAATAAGTTAACTCAAATGCTTTAACCGCATATATAAGAGATTTCGCGTATTGAGAGAATAATATAGTAATCGAGTACAACAAACTCAGGGGAATACAATACCTCCAAAAGTTTAAAAGTTATTAATTGTCACATACCTCTACTTTTACTTATTTCCTAAACTATTCCTCTCCTTGTTAATCTGCTTAATGCTATTGGCCTGCTTGCGTTTTCTTATTAAAGTTCAAGACTAAATAAGAAGATTTATTCTACAACTTTAAAGGTAAGTTGCCTCCCTAAGCGGACCCCCCGCATCCTAATTCTTTTGTTAATCTACTTAATGTCATTAGACTTTCTGAAGTTTTTTATTTAAGTTCATTTGATGATTATGATATCTCATAAGTCTAATTTAATAAATTATTGAAATCTCTAATTCACCTAAGCAAACATAACCCATGCTTTATTAAGTACCTGCACTTGTGCTTGTAATCTAAAACTAAACATGTTTCAAGTACTTTTGATTTTGACCTATACCTATTTATTATATCTTTGTTCGACCCAAGTGACACCTTGAAGTGACTAAAATTCTTCGCTTTGGAGTTAGTTTCCTAGCTGATTTTTAAATTATATAGGGTATATGCTCCAACTATGCTCACACGCTTCCACTATGTCGCACCACAAAAATACGTATGGATATGTAACAATAGAAGCACGCCACAGTGGAAATCCCGAGCCATAGTTCAAACACTTATCCCAAATCAAAATGAAGCACATATAAGATTAGTTACAATACCATGTACCAACATGGCGTTTAACATTGTTTCCTGAGTAATACTTCAATGAAAACAACAATGAAAGCTTGTCACGCAAATAGAAGGAGCACCGTTGGGCACTTTCTGAAATATTTCAATAGTATAATTCCCTTGCAAGCCCAAATAAATCTCTCTGCGTGAAAATAAATAAAATAAGAGTGATTTGCGGCAAAACCCGCCAGTATCACACCCAACGTCAGTGCCTATACGTAAGCGTACTACGACGCGGCTCTCAATTAAAGGAGTAACAAGTGTGATACTATCACTGCTAGACTAGATCTTTGGTTCTCTCATGCAGTGGTTTATCAGAGAGGGGAAGCTTAGTAATCCCCATTGCCTGCCCATGACGCCATTCTATCGCGGCATGAGCCAGCAACGCCGACCATAAACCTACCGTCTCCAACACTCCACTATAAAGCATGAAATTAAGTCCGCCCACCAACAGCAAGGTGCAAAAACTAGCCAAGGGGAGGGAGGATCATATATCGGGCACTTTATAATTATATCATGAAATACCTGTACACCCATATCACAGACACACAGACATAACATTTAGAAGAAAATTTTTCAAAAAATATCGTCAAGCGTATTTTGCACTAGCACCATCTATCATCCACATTCCCAAGCATTGTTTTGCAACAGGGCCATCCCTCGTTCATGCTACTTTTTCACTAGTTGCTTTTCCCTCGTTCTGTCAACGCGTCAGCTGTGTTGAATAAAAACAAAACAGATGGAAGTCAGTGATGTCGATTCTACGAAATTTTTCGTCGATCAATTGATTGAATTCTACAGAAATACGGATCTGTAGGAAACATTTACAGAAGCTAAGATTTTATTTAGGGATTTGTTTTGTTTGTTTATTGTGCTTTTTCTTTTGCTGGAAACAAGTTTTTAAACGAGGTAATGCATCACTTATTGGTGTCCTTTCTTAATGTAGATGTGTCAATGCAGTATGTACCAGTCAATGATATTCATGGTGAAGTATTGAACATCATTAACTGGTAAAAAATGATAGAATATTACAGTCATCAACATGATTGATTTGTTCTCGAATTATGTGTACATCGTACAACGTAATGTATTCGTCAGATGTGGTATGTGTCTCCAGTGGGATGCCTTGATCACTTATTATTTTCAAGAGCTGACATCTACTAACTAGACGTGAAAAAGAACTGGCATCACTGATAAGTTCGAAATGTGGTGGCTTGCTCAATGCTTCAGTGGCG